GCTTTTACGGTATCGGTACGGCACCTATTCAATTCTACAAACTGAACAATTGCCATTGGACTATGCTGGAATGCAAATAATGCACCACAAAGGTAAAGGGGTAATGCCAGCGGTCACCGGTACCGGTACAAGAACAAAGCGGACACCGGTACGAGTACAAAGCGAGTATTACAAACTTCAAAGAGACCGTAAGTCTGTAACGTATATAAGATGCAGTCTCAATTTGAAGTAACAAAGCGCAACCAATATAATGAGTCATAATAACAATAAATTAATATTAATAACAAAATAGCAGAACTTTTTCATGCATTTCATCCTACAAAAATTCAAATCAAAAATTCATCCTACACGGGAAAATAATTGTTCGTGCGTATGGAAATAATTTCTAACTACTGGTTTACCAATAATTTATACGCTCTTTGCCAGCTTTATATTTATTGCAATTTATTTATTTTCCCCTAAAATATAATATTGTTTGCTTCGTACCAGTTGTATGAGTTTTATTATAGTGCGACAAAGCTCATGGGTTAGTCGAGGTTATTGGCTCATAATAGCCATACGGTAACAAATATTTTTTTCCGTGGAAGACGAAAGCCGTTTAATTAAAACGGCTCAATAATATCAGTGATATTACGATTACCAGTCTTACGATTACTGTTATGCATGGACTCGATCGTGGAGGAAGCCTTGGCCGACAAGCGCTTACGTGACAAACTTGCGGTCTTTTTAGCGAAGCTTTTGTGGTTGAAAGTAGTTTCGTCTGGGTCCCATTATTATAAACCCTGAGTGACCCATCGAGTTTTTTGCATGTATTCTATGTCACAAGCTGAAGTTATCTAAATAATGTGTCATATCATGAACCCTAGGGTCTGTAAACCAACTTATGAACATTAGAGGATTGCTGGACTCCTCGCCGTCGTTGGGTGATTCACGTAACCGCTGGTCGGTTACGGCTTCCTCCACCACCAAGTCCATAATTCCGAAATCAAATAACTAACTAATCCCATACCCGACAGCAGTGGCGTAGCATCCACCCCCGCGGTCGCGGGAGGGCCCACAGCGCAAAGGGGCCCAAGTGGTTAGAAATTCGAAATTTAAGCCGCAAAACCAAAAGCTGCATTGCAAAACCAGTTATGCACATCTTATAACGTTGATGTTAGTTCTGCTCAAATCGGTTATTTACGTAACAATGCCCGGGAGTCGTCGATTTTCGAGGTCATGTGGTTTGATCGCACCGGCGGCAAAATTACGAAGGCTGTCAGAATGATGTCGAAAGCAAATCCTCTTAGTGGCACACAGAAACGCAGAAAAAGGGCAGAAGAGGAAGCACGTATGAACAAAATTAAAGTAACCGAGATAAACGGCAAATTCTAGGTTACCATTGCCTTTTAATAGCGACATGTTATGGGGGGGGGGGGGGTTCTTGCTACGCCACTGCCCGACAGGGAATAGAAACCGTAGGAGAGGCGTGGTTCGCCATATGGTTAAGCCCTATTATCGGCTTTCCGCCCCCCCCCCCCCCCTTTGATAAAATTTTGACTTATTATTTATGTCAATGACTCGGAACGTATCAATGAAAGTTCGGTCTCTTCACCGTTCTCGTCGATATTTGTCGCTTGAGTTCACACTTGATTTGTAAAATATCACTGTTACGTCTTTGCATCATGAAGTATTTTAGCGTAGCCCAATAAAAAGAAATTGTTATGACCGAAGTTTTTCAAAACTTCAGTTGCACGGTATCTCATAGCTGTTTACTGGCGCACAACGTTCCGCCATGATTGTATAGGGTTTCAATGATGGCCAGTACTTTGCTCAGACATGGGCCAATAAAAGCGGGCGTAAACGAAGTTAGTTTTAAAATGCAGTCGTAAACAAACCGAAAGGCGGACGTATGTGAACTTCTTTGTCCATGTAAATAGGAGTCACATATTTTTTCAAATTAACAGCGATTACTTGTATATACATCGCATATATTATATTCATTTCATTGACAATATTCATAAGAATCTGCCCCGATATCTGATTAGGAAATGATCCAACATTTTATTACAGGCCGCATCCCTGCTATATTATGTATGTACTTGAATATGTTATTGCGGCAGCTTGTTTTCTAGATCGACTTCCTTTTTATTGAATTCATTAGCTATAATCAATAAGATCACAGCGATGTAATAGTTGAATTGAACAGTCGCATTTTACATTGGGACAGATTTTCAAGCTTGGGTATAAACAATTGCTTGTTTTCATAAAATCGAGTTTATTTGGTAGTTTCAGTGAAGTTTCGAGAAACGCCCCCCGAGAATAAAATAGACGACTAGGCTACAATTTTGTTTTAATTTGCGAGCTTGTAAAGATCATGCAATCATCGAACTAGAAATCACATGTACATATCTCATGAAATGGGATAAATATAATTTAAAATTGAAAAATATTACAAACTTATTTTAATTTCAGAAATTTAATTAGTAAAATTTTTGATCTAGAATTCCCCTTCTCCATGAATATGTTTTTACTTTTTGTCACAATAACGTACATTTTAAAGTGCAATCGTCTTTTCCAGGTTCAACAGCAATAAATTCCCACTTGAAACTAAAGAAGCAAATTTTCGCTGCAAACCAAAGCAATCCTCCAAATTGACGTGGAATTTGGGAAATGGATGTAGTGTTCATGGTCCGATGGTAAGCAACCAAAAGTAAAATCTTTTATGGGTCTTGTTCAATATTGTGCAAAGTTTATACCAAACCTTTCTTCGATTGCAGCGCCTTTACGTGCATTGACTAAGAAAAATTCTAAATTTGATTGGGATAAGCAGTGTGAAAATTCATTCGAAAGATTGAAACGTTCATTAACTAATGCAAACACATTAACTTATTTCAGATCTGACTGCAGGACAAGAATAATTGCAGATGCTTCACCGACAGGACTAGGATCCGCTTTAACCCAATTGCAAGACGGAATTTGGAGAGTAATTTCGTATGCTTCGAGGACAATGTCAGACGTAGAAAGACGATATAGCCAGACGGAAAAGGAAGCTTTAGCTATAGTGTGGGCATGTGAGAGATTTAACTTGTAAATCTGGTTAAATGGTTGTGCAAAGTAGTTGCCCGATTGCTTTGACGCCACATGAAATTGAGCAGGCATCTGCTAAAGACCCTGAATTGCAAATTGTGAGAGATTGCATTAAATCACAGAATTGGTCAAAGTGTGGCAATTCATTTTTGCATGTGAAGAATGAACTTTGTATTTATGGTCAATTAATTTTACGTGGTATGAGAATTGTAATTCCACAGATACTCAGAAAACGTGTTCTAGAGCTTGCACATGAAGGACACCAAGGAATTGTGGGGAAGGAACACCAAAAATCGACTTCGAAGTAAAGTGTGGTGGCCAAACATTGATCGTGATGCTGAACGGAAATGTAATGGATGTCAGGTAACAAGTTCGTATAGTCCGCCTGGACCAATGACGCGAACACGACCACCCAGTGGACCTTGGATAGATTGTTTTGCCGATGTTTTAGGACCTTTGCCTTCTGGTGATAACATACTGGTAATTGTAGATTACTACAGTCGTTTTTATGAAATTGTAATTGTGCGGTCGACAACAAGTAAGAAAATAATTGAAGCGTTGAGCACCATATTTTCACGTTACGGAATTCCACTTACGTTAAGAACTGACAATGCACCACAGCTTGTATCTAATTAATTCAAATCATTTTTAGACGAACATGGAATTCAACATAAATCTACTACTCCATTGTGGCCACAAGCGAGCGGCGAGGTGGAGTGACAAAACCGAAGTTTAATGAAAGCCATACGAATAGCCCAAGTAGAAGGTAAAGATTGGAAATCTGAATTAAACAAATTTCTACTTGCATACAGGTCTACACCGCATACAACGACGGGAGTATCTCCATATTATTTGATGTTTGGTCGAGAGATGAGAACAAAGCTTCCAGAAATCCGACCAAAATACAACATAATCGGCGAAGAACACCGAGACAGAGACTGGAGAAAAAGCTACAAGGGAAATTGTACTCCGATTACAACAGAAGATAAATTTTACAAGATGTTGAGGTCGGAGATTCGGTGCTCGTTAAGCAAGAGAAAGTTGACAAGATGTCGACAAACTTCAATAAATAGATGTCGACAAACTTCAATAAATTTCCGTGTGAAGTCACAGTCAGAGATGAAAATGGAAAAGAATTTTGTCGCAATTCAACATTTGTAAAGAAATACGCCCAGAATGAAATTGACAATAAAGCCACAGAGTCGCAAATTGCTCCAAACGCGACCAGGCCAAATTCGGAGGAATCAATTCCTCAGCCTTATGAGCGTCCAAGGCGAGAACGAAAACTGCCTTCCAGATTTAAAGACTTTCGTAATGAAATTAGTAGTCTAGTTTACCATCTACTCGTAACAAAAGGAGGGATGTAGTGTTCATGGTCCGATGGTCATGAATTGCATGATTGATTTAGTCCTGCGCGATATGTCAAGGGGAGCAGAAGGACATTGACGGCGTGGCTCGTGCTGGTTCTATTGTAAGGTGTTATTCGCTGTTTATTAAGTTGTATCAGTTACTTTTGTGCATACTGAATTGTAGCAGTAAAAGCCTCATATCGTGTGTTGCCTTGGGGAAAGCTTAGCAAGATAAAAAAACATTGAAGATAGAGGCGAGACACTACAATGGACAAATTAATTAATTCGTTTGTTTCTGCGACTTATTTAATAAAGGTTGGGTTTGTCGCAGAAACAATGTTAAGTTCAAACATTTGGAATGCATCAAACGTAATCAATTCAAATATGTGATTAAAAGACAGAGAGGCGGATCATGTAGTGGATTTTCAAAACAGATAAAAAGTGATGTTAGATGCATGGTAGTAAAGTATTGATTGCATATATGCGATAAAATATACAGCAAAGATGAAAAAAAATTACTCATCGAATATATTGGAAGCAGAAATAAACTTTAATAACCACAACATACATACTTACAGATGAATGCAATTTATTGTATAAGTATTTTGCAAAAAGCACTGGAAAAGGTTTGTTTAAAGTAAAACTATATTGAATATATTATATTGTGCGGAAAAGGCATCTGCTAATTTATAAATTGCAATTCATTCACGAATTTTAATCAAGAAATTATATTTGAATTCAATTGAAGAAGAAACCGCTTGAAGAATGCACAAGACAATATTTCATATCCAGATAATATCCAATGGCATTAAAAACTGAATGGGATTAATAATTTAATTTTCACTGGCCACTGACTGTATATAACACTCGCTTCCAATGATTTATGATATTTGGTGACAAATTTTGTATAACAAGGATATAGAATCCCACTCCAATTTGCTAAAAATTAACTTTAAATGATAGGCAAGCCAAATCAAGGCTGAGGAGTCGAGGCCAATGTAAGATTTATAAACTCTGTTTTCCTGTCGTTGAGAGCAGGAGTCAGAATGTCCATCAACCAACAATCTTTTTTTATATGGGCATCAATTCTGTCCGACTACACACTGTCATAATCGGAATTCACATAAAAAAATGCTACAAACAAATATAGGGTATTTAATAACACAAACAAATCATTTGAAAAAATTTCTTCACATCAGTAGTAAACATAGCTATGTCCAGTGAGTTGAAGTTTCTAGGCAATGTCATTGAGTAATTACATTTAAGAAAACTATTTAAATTATTGACGGTAAGTAATGCAAGAAATCATTATAGAAGTTTAAAAAATTTACTCAGTGGTAACACGAGCACCTATTAAATGTCAAATATCTATCATACAATTCCATAATAGTAAGAAAACAAACATAAACTACTAAATAGTATGTCCTTAAATGGTAACACAAGGAACTGTGTTCTCTGTCATATACAATCAAATCACTTCAAATTAATCTTCACTGCATCGAGTATCGCCAGATTCATGTTCTTCGTGTCAATCATCTCCCATTGATTTTTCTTGAAATCAAACTTCTCCATGCTTCCTGGTGAACTGAAAAAAATACAGAGAAGATATCAGTTCTACAAGACAAATGGTTTGTAAAGTGGTTGTTAGGCTACTCATTGAAAAATAGATTTTTAAATTCTACAGTAACTCAAGATACGAAAAAAGTAAAATGACCGGTTACCGCAGGTGGCAGACTCTGATTCAAAACTTCATAGTCAGCAATATGATTATTACTGCTTCTTGTATCCGCACAAAGAGCTCAAACAAAAGCGATTATCTATCCAAAGTTATGAATATATTCACAAAATATAAGATTTCAGTTTATTTCTGTGAGCATCGACAATATAGACACTAGATTGGTACAACACTTATAGTGATGAATACAGGGGAACAATATTTCTTTGGGAATAAGTATTTTCAGAACAAAATCTCCAAACAGAAGACCTAGTGCAGGGGTGCCCAAACCAGGGGTCGCGACCCCCCAAATTGGATCGGAGTGATAAGTAGGTAGGGTCGCAAACAGGTCACAGGGTCGGTGGGGTCGCTGAGATGTGGTAAAAATTTATTAAAAGTGATTATCGGAGTCGCATAACAAATATTACCTTGGAAAATTCTTTGGTATGTTGCCTGACATCATACATCCCCAGATACAGAAAATTGATTAAAATTAAACAGTGACCATTCCCAATGAAAGAAATTTTCAATTTTAAAACTTTTTCTTTTTAGTAATTTCGGTATTTTTAATTAAAATCGAAAGTTTAAATGTTTTAGCTTATTTTACTTGATACCACCACATGACCAAACTCAAAAATCCAGTGACAGAATCTCTAAAGTTACATGAAAATTATATATATTGACCTGGGGTTGCACTGGACACTTGAAAGTTGTCTTTGGGATCGTCCTGAGAAAAGCTTGGAAACCCCTGCCCTAGTGTCTACCATGTTGTAATAAATTCCAATAACTCTACCTGTTCCTTCCTCCAATTGCATAAATATTTGAATCAATCACAAAAGCACTGAACCAGCTCCGCCTCCTTAACATGGGAGTTACCGTGGACCACACGTTCGTTGAAATATCATATCGTTCAACAGTTGACAAGTTATTGTGTGTAGCTCCACCTTAATAGAATAAACAGTTTTTTAATATCTGCTTGCAATTGTGCTTGGATGATACAAATCAATGTTTATCCATCCATTGACAATTTCACCAATACAAAACAAAGCAATAAATAAATAAAAAGGGAATAGTGAAACTAACATTGATGGCACGGGTAACAACTGCAAGATGATAAATAGCATGCGGAAAATTTAACTAGCCTGAACTGAAGATTTTGGAACCTATTCAGAATGTCTGAATATCACTCGGAATTCCAACCACTAACTAGTTAATATTTCTAATAAGGTGCAACAGTACCAAATGTATTTATGAGTTTGCAGTTTACACGGCAATCGGATTGACCTTTGCATTCGCGTAAACATTTGAATATTTGTCACATCACAATATAATTCTGCAATCTTGCAGAAGAACACAAATAGAACATTAGTGGTTCATGACGATGCTTAAACATTTTGGAATTGCATTTGATGTCTTGAATCTCGGTCATAGAAATAATTCGGTTAATTGCTATTATATGAAAAACTAAAATATTTTTTTTTCTTGAGTCCTACATTTTTAGTACCAACCTACCTAGAACATATATTTTCCCGTCATTTTCAACAGCTGCGACCCATCCATTTGCTTTATTCATGGATGCAACACATGACCAAGTTGATGATGTTGGGTCAAATCTTCCTACTTGGTTGGTCGAACGACGTGATACTACTCCACCAATGCTGTATATACAACCTGGAATTATACAAAGATTATTCCTTTCAAATGTTTTCTGCATTCTGGTATTCAATGAAAACTTAGGACAAACTAATAAATCCGATATCTGTTGGCAGTCATTTTTTAGTTACCGAAGTGTATAGCAAGTTTGCTTCAAAAAACACTTTGTAAAAGCAACCACTGATATGAAACGACCTACTGGTCTGTTAAAAACGGTATTTTTTCTTGTTTGGTTTAGACCAGGAGGTTTGCAACAGGCAAAGCTATTTAGTGCCCGCAAAGCTATCTAGTGTGGCCCTTGTCAACACTTAAGATTTTTCCCCATCAAGCATAAAGAGTTAATCCGACAGTTCATGTTTAAATAATCGCCCACATGGGTAAAATGTTTTTTATGTTCTTTTCAATGTGTTAAATACTTCGCCGTTTTGTCCGATGCCTTTATTACTGTAAAGCAGAGCATTTATTGGTCCAGCTAGATTTCTTAAGTTGGTTATAAGGCCCAGCGACAATTCCATTTATTATCCTGTTGTATGACTGCCTGTTTCGAGTCAGTTCAATGTATATGACATTTATTGGTGCTCCCGAAGTATGTGAACCACGATGGCGGACACCGGAACATAGTATGTGTACCAGATTACGTTTAGGCCATAATTTATTCCAATTTTCCCTATTTTAGTTCTATTATTCGAGGACAAAGAATAGGATTTACATATTTATCCCGGAGGAAAGGAAAGCTGATAAGATGGCTCAATTATATGGCGAACCACGGCCTCTCGCCTAGTTACCAGTACAGGTCGTGTATGGGATTAGTTAGCCAGTTCTTTGTTTTCGGAAGCATGGACTTGATGGTGGAGGAAGCCGTAACCGATCAGCGGTTACGTGAACCACCCTACAGCGGCGAGGAAGCCAGCAATCCTCTCGCACATGATCATCCCCGCATGGAATTCGAACCTGCGATCCCACGAAGGGTAATCAGAGATGCGGTGGCTATCCAAGTATTTGTACCTGAAATTATGGCCTAACCCAACCTGGTACACATACTACGTTTCGGTGTCCGCCATCTTGATTCACATATTTCGGGAGTACCCATTTATTTATTACACAACACCTTCTAACCTTCAGCACCCAGCGCTGTTGAATTACGACTGTTGAGATTTTTGTCTTTTACTTTTTCCCATTTGTTGCTTGATGGCTCGAACTTTTCAACTGATTTTGAGTAACTTGAGTAAGCACCGGAAGAACCAACAACGTAGAGGTTTCCTGTGAACAATTTATATTTCAGACCAATGATAGAAAGCAAATGATACTTGTAAAATAATAGAAGATAAAGTAAAGAACATATGATGTCATAATAATAGATAACACAATGACAAAACATTCACTTAAAAAATAAATCTTTATGGGATATATTCAAACACGTAAATAGTAATCTTAAAACAGGAGTGTTAGTGTATTGTATATTAAACTCAAGTCCTTTAGTCTTTCAAGTCCGGATCTGCGTGTTTTAGCAATGTAACTCTTTCCTAATTATTTTGGCAATTTTTGTCTTGGCATTTATATCTTATCTTACCAGACAAAATTCTTACCAAAATTCTTACCAGACAAAACAGCAATAGGAGGACAATTCCCATGGCTATACATCATATCATTCATTCTCTCCCAAGTAGCTTCATGATCTGAGTATTTCAGTCGATGGACAGATTGATCTCCCATTAGAACCTAAATGTAGTCACCAAGAGCCACAGCAGAAAAAAGTAATTCTGATCCAGGTAGGTTCTGGAAAATATTAATAAACAAGATTAAAATGTTTACCTAAATACAGATGCATGAAGTAGAGGGATGAGAGAATATAATCCCGCTCAAATAATCGTCCTAAAAAGGCCTTGTCCACGAATGGCACATCATGCTAAGCATTAGTAATGCGCTCTCCACCGCACCTCTGATTACCCTGCGTGGGGTCGCAGGTTCTAACCTCGTGCCTGGATGGTTATGTGCGAGAGGATTGCTGGACTCATCGCCACCATAGGGTAGTTCACATAACCGCTGGTTGGGTTACGAATTTCTCCACCATCAAGTCAATGCTTGCAAAAAACTAATCCCATATTCGACATGGACTGGTAAATGAAGGAGAGGCCGTGGTCCGCCATATGATTAAGTCGTCTTATTGGCTTTTCTCTCCCTTGGGTTAAATATGTAAATTCTATATTACATACTTCAATTGAGTACCAAAGTGAAATAGTAAAACTCAGGTAGCAAAGTTTAAATCTATCCTGGAGGGGGGAAATGGAAAGAGGATAAGATGGCCAAACACAGTCATTCGTTGAAATGAAATATGTTACGCAACAATACTATAGGTCGAACTGGACTACCACAACCCCATCTTGCAATCCAATCGCAGAAAAACATAAGCTTTCAGCATTACTTTTTAACCATCTGGAGTAAGAATGGAGACTAACGTAGAAAATTTTCGATGTATAGAACGATTAGACTGATATAACTGAGTTGAAGGTTGCCAACCTGCATTTTGGTCCAAGAATTATTCCGTGGGTCAAAGCATTGAAGGCTCTTCGAGTTTTTATCAAACACTGCGACTGTAAGAAACAAACTCTGTGTAAGAAAACAACAACATGGAATATAATATACAATCGTTCGAAACAGAACCAATCAAAAATTGGTAATCTGTTAAGTTACAGATAACAAATGGTATTTTGTGTTGTGTACATCTTAATTCAACTTACTTGCTTCTTTTCCTTCTTGTTTTATATTTTCAGCAGAGTGAACATCTGAAGCATCAACGTGTAAGCTGTCCAACATGGAGATGCATAGCGTGTGAGAGCATTCATGGCATGACTTCACCATTGGCTGAAACAACCAAAATGCGTTATGGTATTACAATAAATGTTGAATGATATAAGAAACAAAAATTGTTTTCGCAGAAATAGAATGATGTCGACGAATCAATAGAAGGACTGTTAAAGGTACATTCACTCTTGAACCCTTTTAAAAACTATTCCGACTTCGGGTTGAAGAAAATTCCTATGTCTTTTTACTTGCAAAAATCAAATTTGAGCAACAAAAACTTTCGCCTTGCCTATGCAAGCTTGAGCGTTGTGAATGCTCAGTAAACTTGGCATTCTTTTGAGTTTTATTCTAAAATTTTGACTTTGATTATCAACAATACAAGGCTGATTTTCCGACACCAAAAATCTCAAGATTTCAACTCCGGCTTTGAATCATGGTAGTTTAAAAAAAACAATATTACCAACTTCAAGTCCACAGTCATTGGTTAGCTAAAATTCTAATAAAATATTCAAATATCCTAGCAATAATGAATGGTTTCAATATATCAATTTGAATATAACTGACCTCGTTTTCAACAAGGAATCTTCTATAAGTCACCGGTACTTTATGCAAATCAATGTAGTTGTTCAATTTCTTCAGAAGTTTTTGGCGATTTGTTTGCTCATGTTTTATCCAAGATATCAACGCTTTTAGCTTGACACTCTCAGACGCCTAGAAGGAATGCAGAACATGGGAATATTCAGTTGTATCTATTAACTAGACTATTACATTGACAAATGCCCAGCATTCACGTAAAATATTGGAAATCCTTGCTTGAATATTCATTGGATTCATAAAACCAGTGTCTAGCAGGCTAAACCAGGCATTCAAGGACAGGCAGGCCAATCCTATCAGATTAACCGAAGTGGGAAATAAGGTAGGCTAAGCAATACAGTACAACAGTGCGTCATTCCAAGCCAGGTAATTCCCTACGATTGAGTGGCTGCTTGTATCATGGAAAGTTTACTTTCGCCAGCTTGAACCCAAAACCTTTCCCCACTGAACGAGTGACTACTTGTATGGAGTCTTATTCAGAATGAAACGACCTCAACAAATCACTAAAAATACCATGTTTTCTTGTGACTTGATCAATCTAACAAATTCCTTTTTTTCTATTTCCTTGAACTCATCAAGAACTGCAATTTCTTCAAATTTATCCAGCATGAACTTCTCGCATTTTTCCCTCAATTCTTTGTAATTGTACAGGTTTGCGATTCTTTTTGTCACAAAGAATGATTCTGCAGATGATTCGAGATTTTCTTCAAGTGAATCAACGATGCCTCCACAGACATCTGTTATAATAAAACAAACTTCTTACATATTGCTATTTGGTAGCCTTTCCTTGTGATGTAGTGGATTAATACAGGGTAAACCGAAAAAAAAAAAAAACAGAATCCATGCCGTTTGGGACATATTCTAGAGCAGAGATGGGCAAGATTTTTTGACCGGGTGCCAAGAATTTTGCCAATCTAGACTGGCGGGCCATGTAAGTGTGACGTAAAAACTTACATTTTATGAGCAATATTTACAGTGTTCCAAAAGCAAACGAGGAAAGCAATAAGCATCGTGCCAAAACTAAATTTAATCGCAATCTCAACAAATTCCTTGAGCTATTATCAGCCAAAACATCAAACTTTGGTTTTAGTTTGATTCTGGCAGGATCAGGCGGGTCAGATTGAATTACCCAACAGGCCAGATTTGCCCCGCGGACCGTAGTTTGCCCATGTAAGTTCTAGAGAGAACATAACTTCTGTGCAAAACGTCCTAGATTACCGAAACTTTTAATTGCAATCATCGAATCACATAAATAGAAGTCAAGCGTTGAAATAATTTTTTTTTCATTTACGTAAAAGTAACCATGTTTGACTTAAAAATTGATAAATAGTGACATGACAAATTAACTGAATCAGATCAGAAATAAACATGTCTGTATTCAGTAAAAATAGCAACTGGGGGCAATGAGAAACTGGCCAGGATAACAATAAAAATGCGGGCACTCGCAAACCAAATATCTCCATTTGCAGTGGGATTGTCTAGTTAATTTAAATCAAAGAGGATTGAGTGAACCTCGGTCCAATCTGAAAGAAAAATATATTTTATATCATCACCTTTCAACTGTAGTAATTCAGCCACAAACATCAAAGATTCAGCATTTGCATCAGTAGTAGACAATTCACCAGTGTAAATATATTCTATGCATTGTTGCAAGGATAATGGATCAACTTCCTTCATTTCCACTTTACCAGACGCTGTCTCAGCATTCTGAAGTGTGACAATACCAACGATTAAAACTACATTAACAAGGGTAACAGTACCAACTTTGAAAGAGTTAGCTAACCCAATCAGTTTATGGCTGAGAAAACACATAACGAAGTATAAACACAACTTACATTATGAGCCAGCATTGCTTTGAAATAATCAGATCCTACAGATATAATATTCTTATGAACTGGGATTTCTTCAGAGCCAGCTATGATCATGAAATCACAATGATCTCGAGTTTCCTTTCTGCTTCTGAAAAATTAAATTTTAAATCATCATTGCATTAAATGTGTTTTCTATTCTGCACAATAAATCCTTGTGTGAATTTTCAAGTTTTGATACAGGGCTGGGAAGCTGTTTAAAATCACTATGGTTCTATCTCTAATTCCGGAGCTACAATATATCAAATGTGACTCAAGGTCTGCTGGTTTATTTTTTTTCGCTTCTGAGTTTTAAAGTAATTGATGTTTTTCTGGTATGAGCACTACCATGACACATTAATTCAGATACAGTTATGCAAGAGTTAAATCTGTGTTATAGGGACTTTTAGATTGTAAAATTGAAACTTTCAATTTCATACAAGAAAATCAAAATTGAAAAAATTATAGGATGCCTATGGATTTTATTTGTATGAAGTTATTTGTATGAGGCATGAAAAAATTATGAGTCTGGAAAAAGAATTAGATGGTTAAAAGTTGGAGTCACTAATTTTCTGGTAGCTCAGGCTTCAGCTCCATTTCCCACCTCCATTCACAAAAAAACACTGTGGCTACATGGACCCAGCTCTGATAAGTAGGGAATAAGTATGTATACATGATCATAGAGATAAGTGATATCACCGTCGCCAATTCTGACTATACAACAACAGTGATACCTCGGTGGTTGACCAAAAAATTCAAAACTGTTGCGGTCAGAAGTCATATTTTTACAATGGTTTTATGACATGTAGAAAAAAGGGCTACACAAATGTGGCAAATTCAGGTTAAATAGATCTTATGACATTCAGGCTGGATATGACATCCGGTGATAATTGTGACAGATTTTATTTGCGCTCAGTCATGTTAAGGAATTGGGTGGTGGGAACTAGCAGCCAGGGTATACAAATCTTATAACATCTGCTAATAATAGTGGTAGAATTTTTGGACCGTAATTTTTTA